AGAGAATGAAATTATATTCTATTACATCCAGCAGCAAGGAGTTCCATATGTCAATTCTGATGTCATTAGGAATTTCTGCACTTTTAAACAGCTTTCCTCTAGGTTTTGTTGGTTTCCCTGTTGTTTTGGAGAAATGAAAGGGTGCAAACATCCTTTTTTTCTGTTTCCTCTCCATTATCTTATGTCTTCCTTGTTTATTCTATACAGTTAGCAATTTCAGTTTCTTCAATCTATGTAGGGATGTTTCCATTCTTACTTCTTTTGGAATATTTTCTTTTTCCTCTGTATCAAATGTGTCATGATGAAAAAAACCACAATATTCAATGTGGAGATATCTTCCTGTTATAGCACAGGTTTATTTGCTGTGCTGTTAGTTGTGCTCCCTGTTGGATTTCATGTGCTGTCCATGATAAAAGGCGTATCTCTTGCAAGAATGTTGGAGGTAAATACTTGCTCAAATATACACAGCAAAAGAGAAGACACCAGGAATTCTGGGTCTGGTCTTTGTCTTCTGTGCAGAGAGGTATAAAACTGAGCTTGACCCGTTCTGTTGTCATTTTGCATTTGTCTAGAACTGCTATGTAAAGCAAACATGAAATAATGTGAAAGTGATGTCCATACATTTTAAAATTAATTTAATTGCAAAAATTTCTTATCCTCTAATTAGCTCAAAGGATTGTAATCATCTGATAGAAAGCACTGCTTTGAAGTCATAAAACCAAGCCAGTAGAAAATACTATATACGTATTCCATAATATCATATAATATCTTTCTAGCTTAGAATATGAAGTAATCCAAAGACATTTCTTTTTGATGAATAACAGTTCACAGGCTTTTTCTTAATTTATAAGATACATTACACAGAAATCTTCCTTGTGCTGCTTCAGTTATCTTTTATCTTGATTATGGGTGACGTTTTTAGGGTACAAGGCACTGTAGTTAGGAGGGTAATTTTAAATTCTCTATGAGGTGGTGCAGTTTGGCTCTGAATTACGTGGGAGACAGTTTGAAATCAGAGCACAGTATTATTTTTCCATTGCAACTGCCGGATACCTCATGCAGCCTGATTAGTGCAATGAAGCTTTGAAAGACAAAGCAGCAAAGACAGAAAACATTGCAGTGCTTTACAAAGCGAAGGGCAGAAATGATCCACCTTCTTTATTTTTTCTGTAAATTAATTTAAAATTTAATAAAGTACAAAATATTGCAAAACCTTCATCTGCTGGGAGGAGCCGGACAAGGGATGGGTTGTGTCACCCAAATAACCACCTGGTTATGTGCCTGTCGCAGATGAGCCCCCACTCAAGCACTCCAGCACATTTAGCACTTGGACACAGAGATTTTGATTTCTTTGGGCCCAAAGTAACTTGTTTTTCTTCCTGATTTTTATTTACATTTAAGCTTCAACAACCCTCCCATATGCAGACTGGCTAACACATAAAATTATTTAGTCGGCATCCCTCATCTGGCTCCTCTGCTTACTAGAAATGAAGGTAGTAAAGAGACTATAGTATCTTCCACAATATATTTTTTACTTGCAAAAAATACTAATTGGATGCAGCTTTTCCTAGTTTAAAACCCCTCCAAGCTAAAAGGAATAAAAGCAAGCTCCAGTTTCAGTCATACCTTTTGCCTTTAGCCAAACTCACTATAACTGCTGCCAAAATAAAATTAGGATCTATGCTTGCTTCTGGAATCTTTGCAGCTCATCCTTAGGTGAAACACATATCATAATAAGATGTGATACAGAGTCTGAAATCAAATATTTTTCCCAATTCTGTATTTTCATGAGTGTAACATGACACATAGTATTTTAGTATCGTGATAAAGATACCTAATGTTTGTTACAATATCTGCATGTGTCTATAAATGTCTATGAAATTATAGTAATAGTTGATCTTTCAGTCTAAACAGCTTTCTGATACCCCTGTTCAGTACATCTTTGCAGTACAAATGGAGTTTAAAAGTATTTTAAAAACAAGAGCACTTCTTTGAGTTGGATGTGGTTTTACTTTGGGGTAAGGAGGTGAGAGGATCTCCATGTCATCGATGACAACAAAACACAGAACAAAGCATTTAACCAGATGATAAAGACTGATGCCATGGACCAATATTTTTTTGAATGACTGGTTAAAGCTTTGCTCACTAATCCACACTTAAACAGCTAAATAAGCAGCCTGATTCCCAAAAGCGTTCTTGTAGCAGTGGATTTAATGACTTGCATGAAGTTAGCCTTTAAAAGACAGGAGGCATATTTGGGAGTCTTATGTTAGGCTGATTCCTGACAATCTTGGACTGAAATTTTTATGATTGATAAGAATTTTATATTTATAAATTCTTCTTCAGGATGAATTTGCTTTCCCACAGACAGCACCAGCTGTGTGTGCAGGCATTTGCAGAGGTAGGCTTAGGTCCCTGATAGCATTCCTTTGTGTAGGCCTGTCCTTTCCCTCCCAAGGAGCTGTGGGGGCCCATGACACTTTGATCATGAAATCTTTCAGCAACCTGAATCCATTTTTGCAAGAGGAGGGGAAAGATTTCCAAAGTGGGGCTGGAGGCAGCTGCATCCTTGCTGACAGACAAGTGAGATCCCATGAGTGCCTTTGTCCCACCCACCCTGGGTACTGCAGGAAGGCAAGCGGGTGAACAGGGCAAAGCAGGAGGCCTAGCACACCCCTTTGAGGTCTAGGACCATGTGCATCTCCTCACCTGCTGAAACACCTCCTACTTCAAATTAATTTAATAGCTGTATTTTAAGGAAACAGGAGCAGCTGCAAGCAAGCGAGAAGCAGTTTCCAGTAGCCAGTTCAGTCACCACATAGCATCACTATCAGCTCTGTAAACTGCTACTCTGTCCTGAACCATTTTGTCAATATCCTGAGTGATGGTATTCTTCATTTCATCCCCTCTAACTGCACTGTTCAATTTCTGAAATGAAGACAGAGGCAAGAAAAATAGAGCTTGTATCAAAGGACCAAGGCTTCTGTTTGTTGTAAATTAGCTTCTTTCTATTAGTTGATGGCTTTGGAAGGAAGCTGTGGAAATCCTTTTTTGACAAAAAATGCTATAAAAATATGATATGTGATTTTGTACTGCCAATTATTGTAAAAGCAAAATGCAACATTTTATAATGAAGCCACTGCTTAATACTGTTCTTTTTTTCTTTTTTCCTTCAAATCAGATATTTATCTTTGAGAATAACATCTATTACTGTGCCCATGTGGGGAAACAAGCCATCCGAGTGGTCTCCACAGGAAAGGAAGGTGTTATTTTCAATGGGCTCAGCGACTGGCTCTATGAAGGTAGGACACTACATTTAAGGCAGCAGTTAGTTATAAATTTAAGTTACACTCTAGATTTACAGAACTGGCTGGAATTAGTCATTCAGCATTGCATTTCTGGGGACTGGTGGACCACGGAGCTGAAAATCTGCTATTCTAACAGTTGTCTGAAGTGCCGGACTGGGAATAATGTGAAATGATGTAAGAATTCTGTTTCCAGGCTGTTTTTCTTTCCCTTAGTCCGAAGGTAATAAATCACCAAGCTTTAATGAACGGAACTGCTTCATTATTTAATGGCACCTGCAATCACTCAAAGACGTGGCAGTTTTCAAATTGCAGAAAAGGGACAGAAATGGGAAGGGAAAGGGGTTTTATTTTAAAGGAAGATGCAAGGAAACAGTTATATTTGATTGGTTGTTCTCCATGTCACTAGGTGGGCCCTGGAAGCAGCCCAGATCTTGCTACCTAAAAATTTCCTAAAAGCAGACAGGTCCTCACAGTAATTGGCTTAATTCCTTTGAAAATGGGCCTGATGGACTAGAGGGTCTTCACTGGAGCACTGCTTTACTTTGGTTCTTTCAGCTGGCAAGTGGCCATTGAGGTGTCTGTGAGCAGCTGCTCACAAAATAATGTCACCTGCTCACAGTTTAAGAAAGACTGTAAACATCCCCAGTTCTTTGAGGGGATGTAATGGGATTTTAAGCTAATACTTTATCAGAATTAAAATTGAAATATGTAAGAGAACACATGCACACAACCTGCATCCCTCTCTCTGATGCCAGCTAATGCTGCCAGCAGTTTCTTTTCACAAGGATCTTGAGTTTTGGGACCTGGCAGTGTCTCCTTCATGTGACACAGTTTCCCCTCTAAAGTCACACTTCCTCCTGCAGTTCCCAGCATAGTCCCAAGCTTTTCCCACCTCTACAGAAAAAACTGTCCAGATACGTTTGTTAACTGTGCCCTGTTGACTGTTCTCAGTTTCCTTGAGCTTAATGGAACAAAATAGTTTGCAAAACGCCATGCACCATTAATTAGTGTAAAACTATGAGACACTCGTTAAATTACCCTGTATCACAGCTCAGCTGGGACTGTTGGACTCAAAATGAGGGAATTAAAATAAATTATTTAGTTTGCCACTCCCAGAGAAGCTGGTCCTGTAAATCAGTGTACAAACTAATCAAACACATCAGAGGAAAAATCTGATAGCAGTTTACGTTACTTTTGATATTTAAATGTGTGTTTACACTGTACCACAGAATATTTGCAAGTGCATGTCCTTGTGAAGCACTTTGTAACCACCAGATTGGATAAGAAGTTACAAAATGCTAATATTCTTTAATTTATCATTATTTATTAATTTGTTGCTGAAGTTTTGGGCAGGCCTGTTTGTAGGTTAAACGAGCATATGAGTAACGATATTCTGCTGGTAAACATCATTTAGTACATGAGGTCTTCTTGTAGAGTCTTGCATGCAGCACCATGCTGACAGGAGTTTGTTAAGCCAGTGAACTCCAAGTGCGCCAGCAAGCCCGTGATGACACTTGTGTTTTGCTGACACATATTTTTATTCAATTACGAGATTGCTCAGGCAGCTTCTTGGCTGACATTGACTTTCAGGTTTGTCCTTTATAATGAACTTCCTTGTTAACTTTATGTTAATGTACTGGGATAGTACATGAATGTATGATCAAAGGCAGTCTGGAGATACCAAGCCAGATTCTGTAACCTCTCTGAGCAGCATGTATAGAGTAGGACCCCTGAACCTGCTACTCACTGGGAGTAGGTTGTTCAGAAATCAGTATATAACATCCCTTTGGAAATCTCACTTTGTGTCCAAGTACAGATTATGTTGAAATAAATGTTTCTATCAGTTCACAAGCAAGATATAGAAGGACCTACTGGAAAATCTGAGATAAAAATGTTCCTGAGTGGTAGAGCGCAGAATCCAAAATCAAATCCAGAGCTGGGTTGTGTGAGCTGAGCTACTTCTCTTGCACTACGTCACATGTGCTGTCCTCATGGAGGTAAACCTGGGGCTGGGGTCAGGACTAAAGATTCATGGCAGATGCTTGAAGAAGCTGTGGGGCCATAGGATTGGATGGGTCTGCAGTAATCAAGTGTCAGCTCTCTGAATGCATGGATGGATGGAGCAGGATGCAAGAAATTGGGTGTTGTGTAGTGGTAAATGGGTAAGGACCACTAGCAGATGGATGACACCTTTCCAGTGAAGTCCATGGGAATTCAGGCATTGTTGTCAGTGAGACTGAGGTTTTACCTGAGCAGCAGCTGCAATGCTCCACCGGCATACTGTTACTGGTGCCTTTATTTTCCCAAATTCTCTCCTTTTCTTGGATTTCTTCTCTTTGGTAGGATAAACAGAAGCAACATTTTAAATCCAAACTCACCTGATTGGAATTGCTTGAAATCTGGGGAAGGATCGAAATTTGCCACGTCAAGGCTATTTTTCACCTTCCCCATTTCCACTGACATTTGTAGTCGTGTCTTCCCCATGTCCTTAACAGAGCTGGGTGGGATGCTCAGCCCCATCTTTGTTTCCACTGCCACTGCCTCAGTGAACTACCGGGATGGATGCTGAGCATATGTAGAAATCTCGTTCCATCTGTGCAGCTATCACCAACAGATAGTCTGCAAAGGAGCTGCAAGAAATGCTGAAACGGGATCACAAGGAGTTCAGCGCACTCCTCTTCCTTCGTGTGCTCTTTTCGTTGCTGAGGTTCACCACCCCCGGCATTGGCAGCTGAGCCTCCCCGCAGCGCCTGCTGTGTTGCTGTGACAGCTCACGACCTGCTTCTCACCTTCCATAAATGCACCACACACAAAATAATAAAACCATGGCACTTTCTATTTGAGGAAACCGATTTTCAAGGTCTTTTATTGTAATCGGCAAGAGCACATAAACAAAAATCCCCCCACCCCGTCCAAGAATGGCAGCCCCAGCAGTGCCACTGTTTGGGGTAACTCCTGACTCTTGAAATGAATGGTAGACCCAGAGGGAACACTTTTCTTCATAACCTGATTGCTTTTGTCATGACAGAATAGATGCACTGTACTATTAATCACAGGTTTTTACTAAGTATGGAAGCAGAGCAGATCTAGAGTAGATTTGACAGGCTTTTTGCCCTGGAAAAATGCAGAAGTTCATTTCAATTCAAGTTAAGCTCTGCTTTTGTAAATCTGCCAAAGGGGAAAAAATTTCTTCGAGGTATTTATGCTGATCTGTAGACTTTTGATAATATAGTGAAAAACATTTCAAATCAATCAGTGCTAAATCTACTTAGTGCATTTAGCTGGAAGGTTATAGATTGATACATAGATTACTGTAACATGAAAGCATAGATTAAACATGGCTTTTATTACTAAAATAAGCATTGACAATATTTCCATAGTCTGACTTAACATTTTCAGAGCTCTGCCTGATAGATACTTATACTAAAACAGAGTGATATCCTATAAAAGAGAGTTTAAAGTTCCACAGCTGAACCCAGCTAAGCATTTAAATGCGTAGCACCAGCAAACAGTGTTTTATATTTCAGTTTGCTGTATGATTGTTGTTGTTTTGGGACTATGTTTTAGCAACAATAAGGCTTAAAGACAATTTTAAAGCAAGTGGTGATATAGCACAAAGTACTTTCAAAGTGATAGGATGAGACTATTTATATGTTCTTTTTATATATAGTACTTTTATTAAATTAATGTACATTTTAACAAGGAAAGTGCAGGTAAAATTAATTTCATTTAAACACTTTGTTATATTGTTCTTCAACAGAAAGAAATTCTGCAATTAAACCATCTTCATGTGCAACCAGGCACTTGGAGAGATTGTTCAGAACTTGTGAGAAAGTGTGGCAGCAATTGGCGCTGCCAGAGGTCACCTGTGTGATCCTGCTAAGTGACAAAGAGAAGGTTGTGGTGTCCCCATGTTGCAGTTTGGAAGCTCGTTGAGTTTATTTGCGTTCGAGTGTGTGTGATGCTGTAAGTCTCTAAAGATCATCTCAGAGTGAGCATCCCATGCTAGATTTAGTCCTGGCACCATGGCTGTGACGTCTCATCTAGACATCCTCTCATCCTCACGTCAGCAAGAACCACATCTGGCAGCCAGGCACCACTTTGAAAACTCTTACACAACATGAGCCATATGAATCCATCATTTAACATTGCTACTCTGTTCTGTTGAGCTTAATGCACAGCAGTGCTGCTAGGCTTTATTTTTGGCCAGCGAGCAAGAGGAGGAGTGAAAAGAGACTCTTTTTCTGCGATGACTCGTATGCCTTATTAATCTTCATTCTGCCTGCATTTACGTTATCACCAACAGAACCTCTTGTGTGACTTCGCAGTGACACCTGGTGGGAGAGGCCAGGATGTCATCGGCATTGAGACAGTGAAACTGCAGAATGTTTTTGCTGCAAGATCTAATAAAGGCTCCCAGTTTCCCCTCATATATTTCCCTGAAACTCTTCCTGAGCTTATGGGAACTACACATTCAAAGCTGATTCATGTTAACAGTGGTTCTGTGCCTTTTCTAGAGAGAGAAAAGGGAACACAGTGATAAAGAAAAATCTTTCCCATAATTTAATCAGCATCTCACAAAAATCAGGGGGTATATTTAGAACATGTATGGCTGGTCTCAGAGATGCAGTGCCTGGCAGCAGCTGCCAAATCAAATAGCAGTTATTTTGAGCAATATCTTTTATGCTTATAGTATTTCAAGCAATTGAAGTAGATATATTTCTTAAGTTTAGAAGTATTAATCCTGGGACTCTGGAAGTGGTCTTGCTACCAGGAAAATACTAGATAAGTCTGCTGAAACAGTGCCTTATCTAATTTATCTGTGTGCTCAGTTTTTCATTGTATAATACGAGATTGCTTAGCTTCTGCTAGGAAACAGAAACTTTGATGATCAAATTATACCTGAGTTTGGAAAGGGACATTCATATTTAGGCTGAAAGCAAGTAACTCCTAAAATTCCTGTTCAGTGTCACCAGAGAAGGAGATCAGATAGC